ACAACACAGACAAATGTATGTTTGTGGATAATTCGGGTCCGGTTTAATTTGGGTTTATTTATGTAGTGTTAAATCAAAACAATAGTCAACTGACAATGCTTTATACTGTAAGATAAAACCTTGAAGCATTCTGGAGAAAGACGGACTGCAGTGCTGTATGATCATGTGGGGAATGAATGAGGTGAGTGGAGAAGTCCTCAGTGCATCATGTTGTCATGAAACTAGATAAAATCTAGTTTACGTGTGATTGTTTTGCTGAAGGAGTTTGCTGATTTGATTCTTATATCAATCATCTCCATCAGGGGTCAGTGAGAGCAATCACAACAACGACTTCCAGCCTCAAAGAGAGCGCGCAATACTGACTACAGTTGCAGACACTAATGTAGTTATTTCACCCTCATTATTGCATTTCTGCGCCATCTTGTGGACTCAATAGTCCCTACAAAATTTGTTTGACACGTGATAACCCACTGCTCTTTCTCCCCCGCTCCTCACATGCACTTTCACAGAAACACTCGAGACACACACCTCGCCAATCCCCTGTGGTATTACTTCCTGCATCACAGCGTTTTGAAAATGTTTCCTCTTACACCACATCATGTCCTGTTACACGCCTCTGTTGCTGTCACCCAGCAATAGGAATGCACGTTTATTTGTTTATATTGCATGGCCTCAATTACGGTAATGGTGCATTTTAACATATCATTAGTGTGTGCAAATTGACTTGCAGTGCACTAAACCATGGCTCACTTTGTATCTGCAGTGTTTGAGGGGCTTTGTAATAGAGTCAGTGAGGAAATAAATGAAGACCTCAGGTTTTGCTGGAGCCTTTATTAGGTCATCATGGGAATCCTCTTCAGATAACTGAGTCCAAGTCTGGCCACAGTAAGACATTTACTCCTGTGGAAGCTCTGATTTCCCAATCAAATGTATGAGGGTAAACACTAACCACCTGTTTCAGTTCTATATTTTGAGAAACAGGTTGCTTGTCGTCCCTGCTTCATGCCTTTGTTATCCTTTGCTCCACAAGAAATGTCTGCATAATGTATTTAACCAAATAATATTTGCATTAATCATCTTATTTAAGCTATTTTTGTTTCGTGCAGTTAAACAGCCCCGTCTTCTCTGCTCCTGCCATGCAGTTTTGCTGACTGAAGCAAAGCCTTGCCTCACGTTTCACTGGTTCGGGTGCGCAGCGAGTCCTCGCTCTTGTTAGTGAAGCCTTCGATATATGTGGGTGAGATTCTGGATGAGAGCTACAACAAAAAGCCTCAGTGGGGGTCTGTGGAAAGATGTGCTCGTATGTGTTTGAAGAAACAGCCGTATTCGCTTTAATATTAACAAATAATAACCTTGAAAGGTTACTGCATCGCTCCGCATGTGTGTGAATGACATAAGAATATGTATTAAGTGGAACTTTGCAATCATTTACGGCATTAATTTTGCTAAGCTGAATCTCACACAACAGTGGTGGGAGGAGGCGCACAGAATGGAAGAGCAGGAAAGCCCTCGTCTCCATGGTAACTGACTCTGATAGAAACTGACTCTGTTATTAAACGCTGCTTTAACAAAACAATTACCAAGCAATCGAGAACGGGAACCCCACCACCACTACACGCACGCCACAGGCTCTCCAAAGTGTCAACAACGGTACATTTCCACCTTTCCACACAATAGCTCCAAAACCCACCAACATCCACCTTTCTAGTTTGGATTTGCATCATCCATGCGCCACATTTAAAGTCCCTTGCAGGGCTTGAAGATGATGTCACAGACCATGCACAATGCTAAATAGGTGAAATAATAAACCCATCATTTTTTGAGTCATTTTGGGAGATAGGAGGTAATCTGTTAATTTATGACTGGAGAGATGTTTGTTTTTAAATTGAGCTGCTGGATATTTGATTTCTGCTTGGGAATAAATAGATTATCTATCGATCTATCTATGAAGAGTCATTATCAAGGTGTGGGAGATTTACAGGTGAGTGCTTTCCTTGCTTTTTGCTATCCCACAAGCGAACTACTGCCTGAATCCGTGAGCTTCCTTCCTGCAAAGTTTCAAAAACACGTGCATGCTTGTCTTATGGTAATCGAACAGTAAACAGGTAGCACACTGCTCAGTCTAACAAGTGCTGTGTGGAAATGTGAGTGATGATGGTGGAGCTGGTGTGGATTGGACTCTGATTTTGATGGCATCACTGATGGAGCTGAGGTGTGACCAGTTGAAGCAGCTAAACCTCCACCTTTAGATTTTCTTACTTCGTACATCCACCTACAGCAGCAGGAGAATCGATTTTTAAGCACACACTAGCACACAAACACTACCCGTGGTAGGAAATTCTACCTTTAGTCAGGCTGTAAAACTACCCCCCCGCCTCCTCTCCACTTAAGCCCGCACGTGCGCGCATACCCGAGGAGCCAATTAGAGACGCTCAACACTGTGATTTATGTGGACTGTCTCGACGTGGTCACGTGCTCACAGAGCCAGTAGGCTATATCCCCTCTGTGTAAATGCACCGTGTCTGTGAAAGTGAACATAAAAGCAGAGTGAAGCTGACCCCCCACCCACTTGAAACGTAAAGGCATATAGGCGGAGCGATTAGTGCTACGTTTGTGCAGATTTGTGCAGGTAAAATGAGCGTTTGTGCTGCTACGGTATTAATATTAATATTAATATTATAG